TAATGACATGTCAGATAAGGGACTTATATCTAGAATTTATAAAATACTTGAGCACCACAACAAGATAAAGGTGAATAATCCAATTGAAAAGAGGGCACAGGATATGAACAGACACTTCACCAAGGAAGACATTCAGATGGCCAACAAGCACATGAAGAATTTGGCAGTTCTAACGGTTTTTAAACTTATGAGGGCTGTGGAGGTTTATTGATAGAATTCTGTCTTTCCACGTGGGAGCCCCAGGTCCAATTCCTGGCCACTGTGCTGGCTAATGTGTACTGCCTACCTGACTCCCACACATTTGTCAGCTAAGATTTATACATTGCTGTGGAGCGACATCCACTTCCTCAATAACATACCTCTGGAGACTAGGAACTTTGATAAATGTCGATAGTTGCAAGAGGGGCTTTAGGCCTTTTGTTCGTAGGGTCACTATGAGTCATGCTCAACTCAAAGGCAGTCAACAACTACAACATGATTACAAAGAGTTTTTTCCATTTTTAAAATTTCTATCTTTCGCTTTGACAAGCACTGTGGCAATTGGACAATTAAGACTTTCAAGGGGGGAAACAAGAAGAACGAACTGGGGAGGAGGGTAGAGAAAATAGTGCAACAATGAATGAATGGAAACCCAAAACTCTGTAAATGTTCATTAAAATTAATAAAATTTAATAAAAAAATAAAAAATTATCATTCAGTTTTATATAATTATTCATAAACATTGTTTAATTTATGTGCATTTTACTTATGTACATTGTCTTTTTTATCATTACTATCGACCTGTAACTTTTCTCTCCCACTCTTGCATCGAGTTCCCATTGCACCTTACCTGTTTCTTCCCTTCCTCCCCAGCAGTGTCTGTTGTCCTAGTGACTTCTTCCTTCTTCCACCCTCCTACTCCCCTTTCCCCAATGAACAATTTTCTCTGTCTCTGACTCTGTCTTTCTCTCTCTGTGTGAAACTTGTTCTTATTTGCTGATTACAATAGCCATGTTGTCTTTGTCTCAGTCTTTTCCAGATTGATCCTTTCTTGACTTTAGTCCACGTAGTGTTGTCTACATTTCCATTTCTGTTCTCCCTTCCCCTGACTCCTCAGTTACCTTCCAGTTGCCACAGTAGCGGTCGGTTCTCTGCACTATTTGTCCCTTTGTGACTGAGTTAATTTCATTCAACATGTTGCTATGATTGTTAACAGATTTCACCAGAGCTTCTAGGTCAGGAGCTTCCAGACTAACTAAGGTGAATTGTGTTGTATGTGATTCCCATGAGACAAACCCACAGCAGTGGCAGCTAGCAACAACGTGTCCTGTTTCTTTTTGTATCCTCCCATATTCTGTTCAAGCTGGGGTCTTGCACATGCATGGTGGTTACTGATCAGGTGATTAAATTGTAATCAGTAAATTGTAATTTGTAAGAAATAATTATGACAAATCTAATCATGGACTTAATCTTCCTAGAAATAGGTGACCAGGAACAAGGCTTGGATAAGTGAAAGAGTGTTGGGTTATGAGGCCTTCTAGGGTTGCTGTGTGTTCTCACCCAGGGTGTGTTGAATTCAAGTTGGGCTAGAATTAAGCAAGCGGATCTCAAATTTGTGTATTCATCAGGACTACTGGGGGCTTCTGAAATCAGAGAATACGGGGTCCACCCTGAGGTTTCTGATTGAGTGGCTATGGCATGAGGTCTGAAAAGACACATCTCTAGCCTAGATAGTGATAATGATGCTGATCCAGGCATCACACCTCTGAAAACCAGTGAATTAGACTGTGAAGAGATGACCCAAGCTCCCTGACTCGTTATAGGCCTGAAAATGGTATAGTAGAACTGTCCCTTAGAGTTCCCAAGACGTAGGACTTGACAGAAGAGGAATGCCTTAATCTTTTTTCAGTGGATTGGCTGGTGGATCCAAACCACTGACTTAATGGGTACAACTGAATGTATTAACCATTGTACTACTAGAGCTCCCTGAGAAGAAGTAATTTAAGAGACTTTTCAGAGCAGTAGCCTGACAAAGAAAGGATAAGAGCAGCTTTAGGACTCAGATGAAAGTGAAAACCAGCTGACATAAATAAGTAAGGTGGATGATGGAATGCATGGAATCAACTTAGTCATGCTTTAAGCTAAATTAATCTAGTTTAGCAACCTAAGACCATGTACATATATCTAAGCTAAGTTATATATAGCTTATTTCCTCAAATAGCCTTACACTGCAAGGAAAGTTTGTGCCTATTAGCTGACTGTGCATTTGTCAAGGTAAATGGGGAAGATTTGAAATGGAGAAAGGGCAGACCAAGGAGAAAGGAAAGTCCATATATTGTGGAGAGATGATAAAGGAGAAATCACTCCCCACTTCTCCCACTCAACTAGTGTTAACTCCCAGGTAATTAATGGCAGGAGAATTAGCAAGTGGGTAATATAGGGACATATTTCTCCTTATTGCGACATTAAAATGGAAGCTATCTAAAGTTTAGAACAGATTTCATATGCATCATTGTACTTACATAATTAGATTTCCTCAATTTTAAAACTTAAGTTTGACATCTTAGCATGTTTACCTATTTTTTTCCCCAAGGGAAGTGTAGAAAACAGTAACCATGTAGAACTTTGGATGACATAAATGACTTTATTTGCAGAATTTCATAGACTGAGTTTTCTCAATTCTCACAGGGGAGAGGGGTAGAGAAAAAGAATTGATACTAAAATAAAATGAACTGTGCCTAAAAAATGGATATGCTTCAGTAACCATATAGTCAAATGATTGCCTGTAATTTTTGTTAATTGGAAAATTGGTGAAACCTTCCAAGGGAAAGCGAGGGCTCAGCTCGTGTGTTACAAAACCACGTCAGAATGACTCCAAAAACCTTGGCTACACATTCAGCGGTCAGATATTTCAATGCTCCGTTGCTCCCGTTCCTGTAACAGGTACATGTGACAGCGCTGCAGCTATGAGTGGAATTTTAAAGAGGAAGTTTGAAGAAGTCGACGGCTCCTCACCCTGCTCCTCTGTGCGAGAGTCAGATGATGAAGTTTCCAGCAGTGAAAGTGCTGACAGTGGGGACAGTGTCAATCCATCCACTTCTAATCATTTTACCCGTGAGTATCTGAATTCATACGTGAAGGGTTGTTTGGGTCTTACAGCAGAATCACCATCTTGGTCTTTGTCTTTCTTTTTATTTATTTATTTTTAATGTTCAATGCCGTTTATGCATGGTTTTCCTTTTTGGTTTTGCAGTTGATGAAAGCAAAGCATTATTTACTGAGAAGTGAAATATTTTTGAGGCACTCAACGGATTCTTTTTTCTTGGAATTGCTTATTGTGAATTAATTGATTATGTCAACCAATGGACTCAGTGGAAAAGAACATCCATTGAGACATTTTCTAGTTAAGTAGCCCAGAGTCCATGGGGGCAAGTGGGCAAAGACAGGGATGGGAGTAAATCAAAGATCAAAATGAAATTCATCCTCCCATAGCTAAAGTGGAGTTCTGTGAGAAAAGGCAGAGAGTGTAGGAGGGAAACCTCAACGTTGAGATCAGAAGGAGGGTCTCCGTGTATACATTAAGAAAAGAAAGTGCAAAACCACCCCTCCCCAGTATGCCAATGCGTGCAATCAGTTCTGCTTCCTTTCTATTCTCACATCCTCCAAAGAACTATTAAACCTCACACAGAAACAAAATCATTGCGGTGCAGATTCTTAGCACAAGGCCACCAGAGCTAAGTAGCTAAATAATTTTCTTAAATCCTCTAAATAGGAAGGCTTGAATATCTCTAGAGAGCTGTGTTGGCCTAGTGGACAGAAAGTTACCAAGCGCAGCGTGGGTGATTTTAATCTCAGGCCTGGTTTAAATTGTTTTCCTGTCAAACATTCTTCTATGTGGTATAGCACTGGTCTGTGCATTGCTGTACAGAGGTAACTCTTGGTTGCTGTGATGCTGAACACTGTGACACTGATGTGCTGTATGCAATAATGGTTACCCATGATGGACAGTGTTTGGAGCTTCCTGATTAAAACAAGCTTGGGAGCAGGAGTGGCATCCACTTCCGAAATGACTTGCCTCCAGAAACTCTATAAACAGTGCTCAGGTCTTTTGTTCATAGGGTCACTATGAGTCATCTACGACTTGACGGCACTTAACAACAACAACAATATCATCAAGATATATAATTTGTGTTAGTTTACCATTTTCTAGTTAAGTAGCTGATTGCATTAATGTATGAATCCATATAGTAAAAAGCGATCTGGTGATGTAGTTAAGATGCATCACATTTCATCAAAAGTTAATAGTTGGAACCTGAAAGTTACTCTATGAGGAGAGAGATATAGCAGCCTGCTTCTTTTAAAACGTAGAGTATTGTAAACCTTATGAGACAGATCTACACTGTTCTGTATGTTGGTGCTGGCCTTATGTGCTGTGGAGTCAGAACAGCTCATAGCTGACCCTCCAGTGGGTTTTCAGAGGCTGTAAATCAGATGTGGAGAGATTGCCCATCCTTCTCCCTCAGAGCAGCTGCTGGAACTTTCTATGAACTGCAGTCAAGTCAGTGACAATGCGTTTGGTTGCCTTGGTTCCACAAAGTAGAATTGCTTTTGAAAATTTGACAAGCCCCCCCAAACTAAGGATCCATCAAATGTTTAAGACTTAATGGTGAACACGATAAAACTTTTGAACATGAAATGAAGATATTAAAACCACTGACATTTATAAAGAAGAAATACTAATTAGGAAAAGTAATGTAAGGGCAATTACAATAAATACAGTACTCAAATTAAAAAAATACTCAGAGACAAAGTTAATGGAATCATATTGAACTCTAAAATCAAGATTAGTACATCACTATATAAGTCCAGTTACATCATTATATAACTGCCAAACTACAAGAGTTATGACCCAGGGACATTGACACATACCCTCAGCCTTCACAGCCAGTGTTACTCTTGCATCACCCTTTAGGATTCATTTCTGTCCAGGTGTGTGTTTCTAATGTGAAAAATACTTTGATAATAGATTTTTAAATGCAAAATGTCTGATAGTAAGATAGTTAAGTCAGAAGTACTGTAATTTAGATCTACACCTCATGCCGTATGTACAAATAGACTCCAGATTGATTAAATAGATAATCTTTAAATCAGATTGTAGGAAAATTGCATATTTGTAAGACATTTAGCAAGATAGTTAGCTGAGCCATCAAGCAACAGAAAAATTAATGTAAGGAAACACTGAACAGACTTAATAATATGAAAATGTTAAAATTGTTACAAAGAGTAGTAAAGGAAGTAATCTATAGTGAGAAAAAAATTTAAAGTTCTATTTTCTAAATAAGGCATTAACCCCCCCCCCAAAAAAATCCTTAGGATAAGCAGTAGAATCTACTTGGAAGAGAATTACCATTTTGAAAAAAATAATTTGCAAATGTTCATATTAGTAAAATTCAAACTATAATAGTACTAATACTATTATATTGTAATACTATTATATATATGGTCTTTGCAATCACTTGTTATGCATCAGAGAGCTGTACAATGACTAGGGAGGACAGAAGGAGAATTGACGCCTTTGAGCTGTGGTGCTGGAGAAGAGTATTGAATGTACCATGGACTGCCAAGAAAACAAACAAATTCATCCTAGAGACGGTTAAACCAGGCTACTCATTGGAGTCAAGGATTCTGGGACTTCGTCTGACATACTTTGGACATGTTGCAAGGAGAGACAGGTCTTTGGAGAGGGACATCATGCTGGGTAGAGTAGAGGGACAGCACAGGAGGGGAAGACCCTCTATGAGGTGGATTGATTCAGTGACTGGGGTAATCGGGTTGGGTGTGTCAGAGGCAATGCGATCGGCACAGGATAGAGCAGGGTTTAGCGCTGTTGTACATAGGGTAGCTATGAGTCGCAAGTGCCTCGATGGCACATAACAACAACAACAACAACAATAGTACTAATAAGATAATATACTTTCATTCTTGTGCAATTGGGGTTCCTTTAATCAATAATATAAATGCTAATAACTAAATATTTGTGGAGGTCACAATACAAATCCTAGAAATGTGTGTTGCTATTGGTAGAGAAATTTAAAAAGCTTGTGACCATATGTTTGAGCCATAATATAATATCTGAAGTTCTGTATTTGAGATAATTTATCTGACAGAGATAAAAAACTGGGAGAAAAACGACATAAATGGAAATACTACTGGTTAATATTAACACAAAAACTAGAGCAGAGGGACTGCTTATTTCAAGAGTAGGAAATTTATCCATTAAATCTTATTATTTATTGTCATGATACCCACCTAATCATTGCCGTCAAGTGAGTCCAGCTCAACAGTGACCTTCTATTAGATTTCCAAGCTGTAAATCTTTAGGGGAAAGCTGCCTCATCTTTCTCCCTCAGAAAGGTGGGTAGATTTGAATTGGCAACCTTTAAGTTAGCAGCCCAATGTGTTTTGCACTATTCTACCTTGAAAATGAACCAACTTGACAACACCTAATAACAACAGTAAAATGTATGCATAAGAATAAAATGTGCCTGGATTCCCTGAAAAATTGAATGTGGTTTGGTTTGTTAAGATAATAGAATATGGATGACCTTTTAATATATTTTTAGTTCTGTTTATATGTTTCTACAACAAATTTTAAACTTAACAAGCTTAACTTAAGGTAACAGTATTTTATTTAAATTGTGTTCATGAATGGAAAACACCGTGATACTTAGAACATAGTCAACTAACTAGCAAGAGATTTTGAGTTATTTCCAAGATAGATTATTTTTCCACTGAATAAACTACATAGATATTGTGTTGTCCAAGAAATTATTGAAATGGTTCAGCTGATCTTTGCAAGACAGTGGTAACTGGCAATGATTAATTTACTAACTTGTTAATTTGACTTTGTGTGTAATGAAATTTAGCAGAGATCTTTCCTGATTTAAAAAATAATTAAGTAAGGGTATTTTTTTTTAAAAAGGTTTTTTTAATTGGTTGTTTTGTGTACTATACTCATACTATGTCCAAATGATAATCTAAGTGTGCTCTATTGTATGTAGGGTTTTTGAAGGCCTGTAATTTCAGAAGTGGATGGCAAATCCTTTTTCCTAGTCTGTCTCAATTTTTAAATATATATAATAGCATCTGACAGACAAGCATTCTCCAGAAAAAGAGGAGATGAAAGACATTTACCAGTTAGAAAGACCAATATTCAATGTTACTGCCCACCCAGCTACATGTTTGGTTGGTTTGGGGTTTTGGGGTGGGTTTTTTTGTTTGTTTTTGTTTTGTTTTTTTAAATCCACCCATTCCCTGCTCCACCACCAACCCTTCCTACTTTTGCTTACAACATTCAACACCCTTCTTCCATTGACCAGCCCCTGATGTGATGTCCTACATCTCAAACAACCAGGATTCCTCTGATTCTGACCATATCATGCTGCGGGATCAGTAGCTGGAAAACATGAGCTCGGTGAGAGAAATGAGGCTGGAGATAGAATGATAGAGTTCTGCACATTCAATGATTTATTCATTGCTAATACCTTTCATAAGAAACATAAACGCAGACTATACACATGGATCTCACCTGATGGCATGCATAGGAATCAAATCGATTACATTTGGGGAAAGATTCACTGGAGAAGCTCAATATCAGCAATGAAAACCAGGCTGGGTACTGACTGTGGGACAGACCACCAACTACTCATATGTAAATTCAAGCTAAAATTGAGGAAAATTAAGTCAAGTCCACGGGAACCAAGCTTTGGCCTTAAGTCTGTCCCACTCGAATTTCAAAACCATCTCGGGAACAGGTTTGAAGCCTTGAGCACCAATTGAGCGTAGACCAAATGAGCTCTGGGAGGATATCAAGAAAATAGTCCATGAGGAATGCAAAAGATCATTACAAAGGCTAAAGAAGAAAAAAAGACCAAGATAGATGTCAGATGAGACTCTGAGTATTGCATTAGAGCGC